CGTTTTTTTTTCCCCCCCCCCCCCCCCCCCCCCCCCCCCCCCCCTCACCCTGCCCTCCCCAGAGAGTTCCCAAGTTCAATCTGGAACTGTCACGGGATGAAACGTGATAGATTATTTTGAACGAAGCAGAATGACGTTCAGGATTTTCATTTTTTTTTTAAATAATAATATCGTTTACATATTAGGTCGAATGCAAAAAGGCAGAAACATCCGTTAAGGCAAGGAGACCATACCGTTCCTCTCGTGGCCTTGCGGCCGATACGCCTTTTTACCGGTGGCGAATGCCGAGAGAAAATTTTCTTCGCGGCTGCAAACGAGCGGAACGAAGGACACCTGACTTCCACAGCCAGCAGCGGAAGTCCACGCATAGCAAGAAATTAAGGGAGGGGGAGGGGAGGAAAATAAATCGTCCCTCTTCTCGAGGTCATGGTCGGCGACTCTCGAGCACACCGGAGGGCTGTCTAATTTTATTTTTTTAAATCATAATTACGATCCGGAATGAAGTCGAAACCGCTGCATGCGTAAAAACCGTGGAGTCATTCTCCTCGATTCGATGCACCTCGGACTCGCGTCGGTGTCGAAGGGATTGACATATTTTCTCGTCGGGGGAGGAAAAGATAATGGTTGCGAAAGAGACGGCCGGTGATTTCCAACCGGTGATGTTGAGCACGCGGGGCAAAGGTCACCGGGGAGGATGGAAGAAAAAGACACTCACACACACAGGCATCTACACATACGCGGAAGAGGAAGGGACCCGGGGGAAGAACTTCCTCTTGCGTCATAACGGCATGCAGACGGGTGTGCATATGCCTCTCGTCTCGGCGCTTCTCTCTCTCTCTCTCTCGCGAGCGAGCGAGCTGGGTTTTCTCTCGTTTCGTGCAAGATGGATGAGCAATTTTTTTTTCGTGCTTCGATGCTTTTTCTCGACTTATTGATTTCATTTGCTCATGCTGCATTGATACCTTTTTGTGTATTAAGTTATACTGTATCGTTCGACCCGGTCTGACCCTGACCTTTATTCCCTTTGGGCTCCGTCTAAAGGGCGGACGCGGCTCGGCGGGCTTCCACAGCCTTCGGTGAAGCATAAAGGCTCCTTGACGGGGTGGAAACCATGAGGAAGCCTTGGGGTCGGATCCTTGACGAAATCGTAAAGGGACGGTCGTCCTACGTTAAAAGTCCCCACCGTACGACAAAGCAGCGGGGGGAGATGAAGGAGAGCGAGGAAAAAAAGAAACCCCCAGGCGAGACTTTGTCTGCTTTGTTGACCGGAAGCTTCGCTCCTCTTTGTAGGTTCCTCTCACGAAAAACACCTCCCTCTCTCTCTTCAACCTTCTTTTTTTTTTTCTTTTTGAGGGTGAGAGGGGACGAGAAGAAGGGGACAGGAGGGGAGGAAAAAGACCGGAAACTCAAACCGAGCCCTGTTTCCGCTCCTTCCCTTCTCCCTTCTACAGAAACCGGATTCCCCTGGGGCCCTTTCCCTATACAATATGGTCAGAGACTGCATAATCAGCGCCCATCTCGAGCGGAACTCCCCTTGGCACACACACTGTACAAGGAAGACCGCTTCTCCTGTTTTCATTCTGGAGGAACCCTGGCTCGAGACCAGATAATATTCCCGTCAAGCTACGACAGGGACACCATGGATCAAAATTATATATGATGTCTACGAGTCAAGGAAATCAAGAAGGCGAAGAAAAAAAATTTGCTTGACTGGATTTTCTACTAGCTTCAACTCGATTTTCGCGCACGGCTGCGGGAAAATGCAACGCATTCTCACGCTTTTTAATTTCAGGGAAAATGTGGAAAATTGTCTTTTTTCACACATGGTTTGTGGTCGGTGCACCGGTGCCAATCTAGCAATGCACAACCGCTACGGAAAAGTTGACTGAGCTCACCTATGTACTTCACACGAAGGATGGGTGGCCAACTAGAGTTTTCCAAAACGGAATTTCTCTCATAAATCTCGAACGTCGAGCGGCGGCGGAAAAGGGGGAAGATATGGACCAGGTACACCAAAGCAGGGATCCAAGAGAGCCGATCACATTTTTTTCCGTTCGTTCCTGCCACTCCACCGAGTTTGGGGATTTAGTTTGCCAGTTGGGTCCGGGTGCACTGCTATCACGTGGTGAAAACAGACCGCACTGAACGGCGAAAAGCGACGGCGTTCCCAACTCGGCAGCTGGCCAGCGAGTGAATGAAAGCACGTCTTGGGTCTTCCCTCCGCCTCGCCTCGGTGACTCGACCGAGGAAAATCTCGAGCAGACGACTCATCGGTTCGGATCTCGCGCATGCGCAGTCTGCGCAGAGCCAGCAGACGACGTATCTACCTCCACTCCACTGCGGGCTCCTCCTCGTCTGATCCCTTTCCTTCCGTTCCGCTTCTCCTGAGTTTCACTCTTTCCAATGAGTTCTTCCAAGTTGCTTTCTTTTTGCCTTTCCACTCGGTTCGATTTCGTTCGATCGATATTTCTGATCCGGATTCTGCCCCGGAGTCAGCATTTGCGTCACGCCTCGCACGGTCGATGATGACAGGAATGGGTGAACCGAAAGTGAGAGAGGTCAAGAATTAATTTCAACGATAATCGCTTGGAGGAAGAGATTTCAGCCCTCTTCACGCGATCTCTCGTCCGAGATGGCGCGAAAGTACGAGCGGTTGCCTTCCTTCACCTGGTTTACGCGGAACGGGAGCCCATTAGAAGAGGAACGTGAAACTTCTCGATAATTCCCGTTCGACTCGGTAAGAAATGCGAATTCTCCTGTTATTCCCTGGAGATCCAATCCTGCGGCAATTGTGTGAAAAATATTCGGATTTCCATTGTTGTCGCTCGGATAGCCTCCATTGTTTCTCCACGATGCAGGGACTCGTGGGTAGGGTGGGGAGGAGACGAGAGCGAAATTTAATCTCGCACACTAGTTGTCTTTGGTGTCACGGTCACGTCTGTTTACGTGGATATCGCTCGAGGGGTTAACTAGAACTGGGTGAGGAAAATCGGACTCTCGTGCTTCGTCATTGAGAAAATTCCGGACTGCAGAGCATTGGCAGACGATCCTTCGAGCTACTTTGCGATCGATACAAAAAACGCGGAGAGACAACAATCTCAAAAATGCTAGCGGAACTGCATTCGCCAGTGAGAACGAGAAAAACCTGAATTCGCTGAGAAAAAAGTTATTGGAAGAAATCGCTGAGGGTGAAAAGAAGTGACGCCGCGAAACGAGTTTTTTTCGACGAAACTCTCAATTACCCTCCTTCGCTCTTAGAACTTTTCGAACCAAAATAAAAAAAAACTTTCGAGGTTGCAAATCACTATTTAAAATAAAAAAAAGAGATCAACTTCAGCATTGATTTTCGCTATGAAGAGTTTTTTTTATAAATTATTTTCTTCGTTGTCCAGAAACAGCACGATCCCTAAAATCGTGCTGTTTCCCTAAAATTTGATCCCTAAACTCTTAATTGTTTCCGGGATATTTTGCAAGATGCATTCCTCCAGAAGGGTGAAAGCGATCTTCTCGCGTTTGATTAAATGCGGCACGAGGAGAAAATGGCGAGTGAAAGGAAAAAAAAAGACATGCAGAATGCGATTGCATCAATCGCTTCAATCGGGGCTCGCGGTTGGCGACGCCGAAGAAGTCGCTCTCGATCTCGATTTACCTCGAAGAATTCAGGTTTTTTTTTTTCTTTTTTCTCTCCTGAGAGACGGATCCGGCATCGAAGGAACGGGATGCTGCGATCTCTTCCAGATTCAGCATCTCGAGCGATTCGTCTCGGCACGTTTAGCGATTCGAAAACTCCGATTCCATCGACTTCGGGTGGAATTCTCAGAAAAAATTCCGAACAGCATAAAGTTCGCATCGGGCCAGTGAAAGGTCAGTTGCGAAAGGCGAAACGCTACTTCGCCAAACGGCGAAATGACACCGCGGCGAGCAACACTTCGAGGCGACCAAGTCGGTTGCCGAGCGACTAATTCGGTGGCGACTTTTCGTGTGGTTGTTGGGAGTTTTTTTTTCCCAAATTGGGTCTTCGTTCTTTTGAATGATAAGAGACGCTGAGAGATGTTATCTTTAGGCTTTAGGGACATTAGCTGTAAAATAATTATGATACACTGAAGAAAAAAAAATCATATTTGACGAGATTTTTTACTCGTTTGTCTTTTTTTTTTTAACAATTCCATAGTTCTCCCTTTTTTTTTCTAGCAGAAAATACACCTTCATGAAGCTGAGAAAATTCGGGTAACATGGCACTAGTGGGCCCAAGCGATTAAGTCTAGGACTGAGGTGACGGAGAGTGGCACGGCCAGAATTTCATTTCCGAGCGCGGCGGAAGGGGTTTGAAGAAGGCCAGCTGCCTTGCTTCACCCCGAAACCGCAAGCTGCAAGAGGGGAAAGGAAAAACGTAAGCCTCGGTGAAATCCGAAATATAGGGTCGCAGCCGCAGGCCGCAGAACATTCATTTTATTTTAACCCAATCGAACCAGCATTTATAATTTAAAAAAAAGGGAAATGATGGAATTTCTCTCTCACTCTTTTTGCCACATGCCGAAGCATCGCATGCGATTTCGCCAGGGGTGGCTGCGCCCAGATGCTTCTGGCCCCGATGTTCGACTCCGTCCACGTTCGGCCGAACGAACCTCGGCCCCTCCCTCGGCTGCGTGGAGCAACTGGATCGTCCGGCGGTACGGGTTCGTGCAGGGTTCGTTACGCCATGTGGAAATGCGACGGATTTCGCTTCCTTCCAGATCGTTAGAGAGACGTCATTTCCCGATGCATCGAATAGGGGCAGAGCGGAAGGTGCGGGTTTCCACTCCACGTGGCGGCTATCTTCGGTCGGCTGCAGGCGTTGGGTTCCCGTCGAAATTCGACCGATAACGGGGGGGGGGGGCACATCGCTTTCCAACGCTTCGTTCTCGTAACCGCAGAATATTTAAACCCGTCCAGTCGGGAGTTTCGGGTGTCGTAGCGAGGAATCCACGAAGAGAATGGGAAAGTTGAGATAAGGACCGACATTTGGAGACGCAGGGTCATCTAGACATATCTCGTGACAGGAGAAAACCAGTTACAAGACGGTTAACTTTCTTTACCACATCCAAAGTACAGTTCCTATCAACTCTTCGTCTGGGCGACCTTGCATTCCCTAATGTCGGTTCTTATCTCACTCTTCCGATCTCAATCAATGCCTGACTCGATTCTTCGATGCAACGAAACCCCTGGGGGATAAATATATATTCTGCGGATGTGAGAATTCAGCGTCGGAAAGGACCGCAAAGTACTCTTCCCAGCATCGGTCAATTTTCGACGTCATCATCGCCCACAGCTAACTGCTGATTGTCACGATTTGGAACGAGAACCTGCTCCAACCACTCGACGTCCTCACAACGAGAGATGACGTCTCTCTACCAATCTCGATGAATGCGCAATACGTCATCATGTACTATTATCAACCCCATTATGAAATTTCGATTCTGACCTTCTGTTTTTAATGACTAACCTGCTCCGTGCTTATTTTTGCAGTGAATGAAACACGCAGTTTCCCTTGAATGAACAGGTAATTTTTTCCACAGTTGAGTAGGTTTTTGGCATGTCGAACAGGAACGTTATTCTGAAATTGGTAAAACTTTATTTCAATTTTTTTAACTCAGTTTTTGGTTGCTTAAACTTGTGTCAAGAGAAGTTGGTTAGAATATGTGCATTTAAATTTAAAGTCATTACTCACACAAATATTATCTCGTGAAATGGACTGATAGTTACTATTTCAGACTTTCAAGGCACTGCTATTCCCTCTTCACTTTTGGGTACATATTTGATGAAATACATCTATTGGAAATTCCGAGAATATCTCTTACAAGTGGCAATGAGATCAGAAGCATAACACGTAGCTGTGCTCAAGTACACACTTCATAGATAGGAATTGTTTGACTAGGGTAACTTCATCTTGCATCCTTTTTTCTTTATGGAAGCCACTCCTGATGCCATCTATAAGTCTATTGAACCCAACTAATGCACTTGCTTGGTAAAATTCTTTAGTCAGCCATTCTTGCTCATAGCAAATAAGCCCAATCATCAACATCTAATAGATGCAAATCGACAAACTTCCCATTGAATATTTGTTTCAAGAAAATACTGTTTCTCCATGATTTTCCCACAGCAAACTTCCAAAAGATTTCAACATGTAGCCTCAAAGCTTGTAGCTTTGTGCTGCATACAACCATTACGCTACACTCCATTATGCTAATTCAGAGTTTCATCCGCCCATTCAAGGGGAATTTCATTATGCAGATGACATTATGGAGACTTGGAAATATGACAAAACCCAAAGATCTCTGGTGGCAAGTTTCTTGAGAGTTTCACTAAAGGAAGGTTAGAGGCAAGTTGCTATTTAAGAGCAAATGGCAAGAAGAAACAAGGTTCCAGGGGTCTCCAGTGGCCCTTGGAGCAACACTTTTGAGGGCTGCAGATTTAGAATCTAGTTAGTCATACTTTGCACTATTAGGCATTTCTGTAGCCATGTCGAAGTTTTCCCAGCATCTGAAGTTGGAAGATTATCAAATTAAAGACATGATAGTTTCTAATATGGTCTCTTTAATGATTCAGTCACCATTTTCTCAAGGACTGTATTTATAAATAACTATGGCATCCATACATAATGCATGATACACATTCAGTTGCTAGTTGTGGTATTCAAACTGACAATGAATCACATTCAGGTAATATTCAGAAATGCAGGAGTTAGGGGCAGGCAACTGCACAGGATTCTACGGAATGTCGATAGAAGCTCTTTTCATTCTGCTTTCAAGGTTTTCAGTCCATGAACTTGCGGCCAGGGTTAACACCAAACAGGCGGGTGCGAATGTTGGGGATTATCTGTTGGAAAATCATGTCCAGCCGAGATTCAAGTGTGTTGGACAACTTCACAGACCCCTTTGGGTGTATCAGCTCCACTCCACCAGCACTGAGGGTAGAGGATAACACTGCTCAATAACATCACACTTGGTATGGAAAAGACCACATGTAAACATCCCAAAGCCATATTGCATGCAACCCTTGTAAAATAGAGGCTTTCTAATAGCTATGAAATACCCAGTTCATTATTGTGGCATAGATGGAGCTGGCTGATTCGAAATGTGACAAAAATGTAATATTTCAGAGGCATTTGACCTACTGCTGGATTCATGAGAAGCAGCAGTCATGGGATAAGAGATATGAATTATCAGCAGGTACCCAACTATTAATTGGCCATTACTGGCAATTGTAACAGGTCAAATTTTAGTCAGCAACCAACATACCGCACATTCAGACAGCTAACTACTACGTCTCCACAATTACTTTCCCATTCATAACTTTGATTAAGCAGCTAAATAATGTGATCAGAAAATTCTAAAGCAGGGAGGGTTTAATCTCATTAAGAAAAAGAAAATAATCCATGAGATGTAAAAAATTTCAGGCAAAACCAAACTCTTGGTTGGTTTGTTTAATAACAAAATATTATCCAAAAAACATTACATGCAAGCTAGGATGATGAGTCACTATACTAATATTGACTATACCTAACCCCCCCCCCCCCACATGAATATAAGAAAAAAGAACAACTGATAATGGACTAACATATCATTGGTAAGGAATGTCTCATGATCAATCTTTGCATTGCATTCAGACCCAGTGGCTTTCTTGTACACCTCCAATGCCTCTGGCAACACCTCCTTCACCAGTCCAACATCACTCTTCTTGCATCTGATCACTACCATTGGTTCAGTAATCTGGAAAAAATTTTTTTTTGTATCAATCAGGTAGATAGTGAAAGTAAAGTACTGCATGTTCTGATGAGCAGTCCATAGAAGAGGCTCTAAAAGGTTTTTCAAGAAGGAAGTGCATGACAAACAAGAATGCACTTATATTAGGGCTGTTCTGAGCTCCCCCCCCACCTTCTGTGCTCCATAAAAATATACAAGAACATGTCTGTGCGTGTGCGAGGCCTGATGCAGGAATCCCTAGTACCTTCTCCAGAAAAGGGTAGGTGCTTCTGGTCATTTCCATGTAAAAACCCTGAACTGTACAAAGTATGATTGAATCAAGCATATTGGCAAACTCCTGTCTATTCCATGAAAATGTAAGCTTACAGTGATTCTGATCTCTTCCAAGCAACATACATTCCCATAAGGCTTTACTTTCAGCTACATAAACAAGAGAAGTCACCTGTAAGATTCTGAATATAAAAAACAACCATGTGCTTGGAAAGGTAGAGGTAAAAGGGGAGAGCTTCAGGAGTATAGCTTTACTTCATTCTGGACTTGAATTCCATCACTTATTTTAAAGCTATTTTTAAGGTCATTCAATGCTACAACTGCCCTTTCTATCAAGGGGAAGTACTTCCATCACTCATGAAAAACTTTATGCAATCCATCCAACAGAGATCTAGAAGGGCCAAAATTCACTGCATGATTGAAGTCACAACCATAATACAAGATCAGCCCACCATGTTTCTCCTCTACTTCTTCACTGGTGTCCAATATTTTATTTGACTTGAATATCCAAACGTGAATGTCTCAGTTAAGTAAAAAAATTTTCAGACACGTGAATAGCATAATTTAAAAAACATATACTGTATATCCTGCACTGCTCTAAGGTAGACTTCAATCTATTATCATGACCTGAAACAACAAAAGCAGTGCAATTTCAGTGTTAGTAGGTTTGAAAAATTGAAAAACAATCCAAATATATACTTTGTGGTCATTTCCCATGAGTCTCTCCCTCTCTCTATGTACATAAATCTACAAATATAGGAAGTTCATTCAGCCAACCTGGAAGAGGCCCTGAGCAATGAGGGAATGCAAGACAGCTCGGTACTGGGCAGGATTTTGTGTTGCTGAGGCAATTAGGCGCTTGCGGGCTTCCTCATGTATCTTCTGCATGTGATCCTCTTGTGCCTTGAGTACTTGTAGCCGAGCAGCATTCAGCATGTTTGATGCTTGACTTTAGAAATGAAAACATGAGTTACAGAAAATCTTCAGGTTCATCAGCTACTTAAGTCAAAACAAGAAGAATGAAAAAATTTTTATTTTAGAAGCCCAGTGTCAAGCATCAAGTACAGACTCACATCTTTTTCTGCATCTCCACCTGCTTTTCCTTCCTCTCATAATACTCCATGATCTTCAACCGCTGCTGGTGGACCAATCTCCCCTTTTCAATGTTGAATTCTTCCTCTGCCTTGGCATCAATCTCCTCTGCCTTCTCATTGGCCTCTTGTTCTATGAAGGCCATCATATGCTTGATCTGGCCAAAACCACAAGAAAAAGCCATCTGAGATGCTGATCTAACACCAGTATCATACTAGCCTACAAGTTTAATGAGGCTATAACTTAACCCTTGACATATCAATTTTATTACAACAAAACATTTATTGGAGACAAATGCTGTTTCCTTGGCACAACTAGGGTTAAGATATTAAATGATAAGAGTAACATGCAGAGCCAAGGGCAATCAACACCTACCTGCTTCTGGACATCGGCATCACTGAGAGCCATCTTGACTTAACTTTCTGGAACTAGGTGACGTAATAAGATGGGAAGGAAGACACCTAGAAAACAAACAATTTAGCCGTCAACCTGTAAATTTCAGGAATACAATACACCTTCAGTTATAGAATATGACATAAACTTTGGTATTGAGTAACCATTTTGGAGGATGTTGTTGCCACAGCCTCAACAAGGCCCTGGCTACCACATCCTCCAATATGCAGTGAACCTCAGGTATAATATGAGATTATGCCTGGGGCACACCTGAACTAGGTTTATACATAGATTATAGCTTAGCCTAGCCATATCTCATTGGACTGATGCAGAAAAAAATATTACAGAGAAGTTGGAAAATTTCTTTATCCCTCAGAAAAGAGGCAAAAAAATATATAAAAAATTCAGGTAAATAAGATGGGAGTACAGACAACCAACCGACCTAGTCCATTCATTGAAAGAAGGAGGCATCTCACATAGTATAGCAAAATAAAAAGACTAATGACTTTAAATTGACATATTTCTATTTCTACTAGGGGCAGTGTCAAGTCACTTAGAATGCACACCAGCCCCCAGTCCATTTTAAATTTCAAATTTCTTTTGAATAAGTACCCAATGCTTTGCTGTTACAAAACCAATTCAGATGAAATTCAAATGATTTGTAGGGAACATATTATTCTCTGTACAGTGCAAGTTTCATTGAAATAACTCCAGTGACAATAGAAATATATTAGTTAAAATTTGTTGGTCTTTTCTTTGTCATACCATACCCCAGCCTAAGCAAGGATAATCTTCTGGGGTACATCTAGTAACAGGAAAACAATCTATACAACTTACCCACATTACATTTTTCTCTGTATATGGATCACATCAGTGATAAATTCCATTTTGGTTCTATACCAGTTAATCCATTGGGCAACACTCAAAATACTGGAGTGAGATTTTCTTCTCTTATCATGGATTGCCAAAAAAAAGTTAACATTAAAAAAGTTGCGAGAAAGCACTGCAACAGAACTCCTGTCCATATCTTAATTCTTTTGTACATATTCATTTGATCTCTTTTTTTGGCAATCCAAGATCAAGAAATAAAACTTGTCCAGCATTACAAGTGCTGTCTAATGTAATTTCTAGTATCCTATCAATAAAACAAATTTTCTCAATGTTGTGAACCATCTATAAGGAGAAAAGAATTATGACTGAAATCACATATGCATTGACCTATTAAATTCTTGAATTCAAGTGTGCTCCAGATATTTAGCTTTACTTAAGCTGGGAAGATACAGTAATGGAAGACGGCCCATAGAGTGTTCTGCGTCAAGAAAATCTTTTAATGTGAAACTAGCTGAGGTTGTCACCTCAAACTTGCACAAACAAGCCCAACTAGAGACCAGTCCTTTTTTGTAGCAGACGAGTGAAACGCTTATTTTGTATCCTCTCGTTTTCTCAATTTCTTGCAAAATCAACAACGGAAATCAATATAAACGGGAATTGTAGTTAAAAACAAAGGCGAAGGTTACTAAGATAAATTGCACTAAGGTAGGGCCTAAGCCTAGGGAATAAGACCACTTTGAAGGGTAGAGGTTAGGTCTACGCTTGTAAAAAGTGCACAAAACCACGCAAAGGTCGAACCTAATGAGGAAAAGCTTAGAGTAACGAGAGCACCTGGTTAAAGATAAAAATTAAAATAAAATAAAAAAACAAGCGAGGACGAGATACGCCTCTAGCAGGACCGCAGCAGAGGCAGAACGTCCACTTCAGTCATGAGAGGCAGACATGGGGATGATCACATGACGCGACGCATGTGACTTGGGAACTTCATTTCTATCAGGGTTGTCGCATCTTTTATTCGCGTTTCCAAATTCCAGAACAGAAACACATTCATGTTCTCGAAAGGCCTCCATATATGCATTCTGTAGGCTGAAAGTTCTTAACTTTTTATTTTATCTAGTTTCTGAAAAAAATTCTGCCTTCGTTTCTCCCCCAAAAGCCGCAGCTGACCTGTATTTGATATACTGTGGAGGCCAGTATTTGTGAACAGTGATGCTGTATGAAGGCAGGATCCAATTTCCGGTTCCATCTCGCTCTCGTTCCTTTTTTTTTTTTCTTGGCCTAAGCCTTTTCCATTAGTGACAACCCTTGGCGTAGGTATAGATGGGGAGGAAGTCGGAGGATCAATAGCAATATCCTTCTCTACCAGCTAAGGTGAGCCATTAAATGAGGCGAAAAAAGAAGCCAGGTATGTTGACTCTCTGCTGATGGCATCTCGCAACTGGACATCGCGACATTCTGGTGCTCTCACAAGGCAACGTGCAAGCACGATGTATGATGATACTGAATCTCTTAATGATTATATGATGGAATGATGAAAGGTTTATATACCACATCTGGTTTAACTTTCTTGTTCTAGATCCACTGTACCTTCTCGACCATCTGGATCAGCCGTCAGTAAAATAGGTCATATCGTGAACGTAATTATCTTCGAGTGCAAAATGTTCGGGTCTAGGTGCGGTATGTCTGTACAATAAAGAAACTCATTGAGCTCATTGGTTTTCGGATTCAGAGTGCAGGACCAGCCTTAGCTATTTCGGCGCCCTGTGCAAAGAGACTCCCAACCTCGGCCCTCCACCCCAAAGGGAGAATGGTCAATCCCAACCGCCCAACGCCAAGACACTGAAACGGAAGGCATTCCCAGTCTCTGTATCAAAATTGAGAGTGGCATCCATTATAGCTTCATTCATTCTGACACGTTTTGGCGTCCCTGGTGAATTTGCGCCCTGTGCGGGGGCACATGTGGCGCATGCCAAAGGCTGGCCCTGTCAGTGTGACCTGAGTAAATAGCCAAGGGGCCCGTGTCCTGCAATGTATAAAATTCTAGTATGGACCTGTCAGGGATAAGAGAACGATGAGAGTTGATTTTGAAGGCCACTGGAGATTAGATCGGCGAACAGGAATGAACCTGTTTTTCCCGTCTCCTTTCTATTCCCCTCCATGCTTTCCTGGTTTTCTCGTTTATGAGTTAAAGGAAAGACAGAGGACCCCCCCCCCCGAGAGTGGGAAGAAGGGTGGGGTTGAGGGAAACGCTTGAAAAGCACCACAGCCTTTTCACCCGATTTTTTGCTGTCAGCAACGACTTAAACTTGAGTTAAAACTTTGAAAGGGAGTATACATTTAAACTGCTCTGGCTCGGTCTAAATGCGGAAATTGCTGATTCGAAGAGAAAATACTTTTAGCATGACACGGAAAGCCAGGCTGGTGAATCGACGAATGTTTCATGTTGAACATGTTTTTCCTTCAACATTTTAGATTGCATTTAAATTGGGCTTCAGCAGTTTAATAGTATACCTCTTTTGAGACGATATATTAGCATCCAGATAGCATGAAAATGTTCCCATATTCCTGAACTTTGACCCTTGACCGGTACATTGACCCATCCCTAACGATCTAGCTTGGCAATTTAGCGTCTAAGAGGACTTTCTCTTCCGTATGGTAATATGGAGGAGTAACGTAATATGAAAACATGAAAATGTACATAAATGTACCACAAACGGAAAGATGACCACACTTGGAACACTCAAACTCACTAACGGCACGTGTTGGTTTGCAGTAGACATCCAATCTTAGTCCAGCGTTAACCTGTTGGCATATTTACGTTGGGCCAATGTTGGTCACACATATCATAAGTTGACGTACTACGCTGAACCAAAATATGCCCAACACATTTTTGCTATCTGGGATGAATCTACATTTTAGCACAAGCAAGAAACAGGCTCTTTCATTGATTCTGTTCTTGGAGATATACATCAGCGTGTTAGCAAAGGCGAGGAACAGACTTGGTTGCTTTTACTCGATCAATTACCAACAGATTACATTTAAATTTAGATTTAGTTTAGCAGACATGCTCAAGCCATAAGTACAAATGTTTCCTTGCTATCGCATTCAGCAACAATACCCGTCGTCAGACTTCATAATTCTTTAATGGCACCGACTATGATTCTACTTCGAACAGAGATATGCTTTTTTTCTCAGGAAGTTGCTTAACTGCATGCGCTGCTTTTCGCGTGAGAATTTCATGGTTTCATCATCAATAAATTGGAAAAAATGGCGAGTGGGGGAGGGAGGCCACTATATTCGTCTTCGACCAGGATTGACGGTGTCTGCTTTTAATGAGACTTTTGAGCTGCGTGAAGGCATCGACACAGCAGCACATTGCAGCTATTCTTGAGCGGGGTTTTGCTTAGATGAAAAACTGTAGTGAAAGTGAGGTCTTCGATCATTTCCTCTTCAGTATAACGGTAGATGATAAAAATTCGTATATGTATCTTGACTTCAAAGACCAACATCCTCAGCACGGAGCAATAAATAAATAAAATAATCGGGAGGAAAATTGTTACGGTCTGCCTCGCCTAGCAGACACTTCCCTAGTCTAATTGGAGTTATCGGCACCCCTCGTGCAAATTCTCTTCCATGGGGAGAGTGAAAGGACTCCCGCACCTCCGAGAAACCTTCTCTTATGCAGCTGCAAATCATTGAAGTGAACAGCATAGCAGATGTAATGCAGTAGCAACTCGGCTAGGAAGTGACCCCCGTGTGGAATCTCGTCAAATCGCAACTTGATCCGCTCGATTTCATCCACTTGGCTTCGAAGAAAAGAACGGATCATCTCCTTCCCGTTTGCTCTAAGCGAGTTCTGGAGCGTTCAGTCTCCTTTTGAGAGATTTAAAGGATAATTCGTGGTTAAAGCATGGCATATTCCATTTTCATTTTATCGAAGGAGGAGGTCCCGGGACAGACATTTCCTTCTTACATAGACTTCTACCACGAGCCGCATTGCATTTCATAGATGGGATTCGGTAAACATCTCGTTCGTGGTCTATTTCGAGAGGTATTGAGAGGGTTTCCTTCATTATTTCCTCATGGCCACATCTAAAAACAGGGTTTTATCAAGTGAGCTGCGAGCTACAGCCACCGTGCTGTTTCAGCCACACCACGATTCGAATTACGAGAAATTACCATAGCATTTCTCACTTCGTGTTATCAATCCAAAACACACATTTCAATTCTTGTCAGGGCTAACAGAATGTTAACAAGTTGAATGGGATTGTTTTTTTTCACGAGTAGTGGACTTAACCCTTACTAACCTGAGCTATTTTTCTTGCAATAATTATTCTTATAACACAAGGAACACTTCTGAACAAACTTTTGCATCTCAAAGCGCAACGATGAACATACGTCCAGCAAAGCCGATCCTATTTTCTCGAAAACGAAGTGTACTATTCTTTTATTTCACGTGTGCACTGTGACCATATGGTTACGCTAGATTAAAAGGAGTTAATGCAGGCCAAGTTTTTTAATCCCATGGCAGAGTATGCCCCAGAAAAACTTTTTCACAATAAGAATCTGAGCCCTTCACTCGAGCCATCCAGTGAGTTTTAACAAAGGTTATCATATTTGATTGCCTTAGACACCTGAAGATCATTCCACATTAGCAATAGGACATTGTGGGATGTGATTAGGACAGATTTTTGTATTTGAGTATACTGGAGTTAATGTTTGTTGCAAGAGTGGCATCGTTTCCATACTCACCACTGCAAGCACTAATAATGATTGTCTATGGGAACAACCTGGGATTAGAGTGCTCTTGTGCATGGAAAACCCAGCCAGAGATATGAGTGTGACACTACTATAATAGAGGGGCAGGGTTGCACGTTCAGCTGGTTAATCATTTACACAGTTCTTTTCACAAGGGAGGCATAGTATTGAAGACCAAAGGGAATCTACTGAAGACATCACTTTTAAATCCTGTGTAACACCCTTTGCTGCACTAGAATGTTGAAGAGCGCCACAGCAGAACACCACTCACTATCCCTTTAAAAAAGGACAGTACCCCCCAGTTTCTCTAGTGGACCGAGTCCTTCTCCTATTTGTAGCTTGAAATGTCATGATTCAAACATGGAGACATCTAGTTCATTAAAAAGCCCTCTTCATCTCCTTTGATCAACAGTGCTTTTCACTTGAATTATACAATTTTTCACTTGACTCAGACACACATGCATGGGATGTTCCTCATGCATGAATGTCAAAGTCAAGTGAAAAAGTGTTTAACACGTTGGCAACAATGCGTCCTGATGCCAGGATGCAGATTTTTTTTCAATGAATACCCTCTGGAACTGTTGAGAACATTCCAGAAGATTATGATTTCATAATTACTGATAATAATTACAAAAAATTCAACATTTAAAAAAAACTCGGCAAAAAAAAATGTTTTCTGGGACCATGCGTCCTGATGGCAGGACGCATTTTTTGACAAAAAAAAATGCGCGTGGTCCCACGCGGCGGACAAGCAAAAATAGGCTGGTCGTCAACGTGTTAACTTAAGCGAAAAACACTGTAGTATGTAATGCATGAAGACTTGCAGGAGTTCCAGCAGCAATCACAGGATGAAGGATCCATCCCACCAACTGCTTTGCAATTATTCCAATTTACAATTTGAAATGGTGCATCAACAAAAAGACCAAGTGAGTATCTCACTGATAAGGATATATGCCAATTTGTATCAGATTGAAAAATGTTCTTCAAAGCAAGGAGAATTTGCATAGCCCATTTATTAAAAAGAAAAAGAATTTGAGGATACATGAAGGATTACTTCACATGTTCCATATATAAACACAACTGAATCTATGGTTCTGAAGAGAGTACATGACCTCAAGATAACATGATGCAAATGGAGGAGAGAGAGGACAAGAAAAAGCATCAAATCGCCTCAACACAGCATTCCATCTGTGAAAATATGACATAGGCCTAGATCACTTTTAAAAACATGATTGAGCTGATGAGAGAATCAGCTATAGAGTTTGTAGAGGCTTCACTGCAGATGATCTCCATGAGGACCCAGATCCTAACAGCTTCTCCCAGGCTCCACCTATGGAAGAAAACACACAGATTACCTTGATAATTCCTGGAGTGCACCAGAAAACACATAGGGTTTATTCTGGAAGCCATCAACAAAAGCCTATATGCTTTATGAATGTTAACAAAAGGTACCATTGATAGCAATACAGGATAAACAAAAATGCAAGACTCATCAGAGACTGGATTGATTTCCATTGATGATTCAGGGTGTACTGTTTGTGCTATAAAATAGTGGCATTGTGAGTAAATTAATAAGAGTCCTACCTTGAGAGTGTATGATAGAGGGAAGAAAGGGTAAGAAGGGGACATGTTATTTCTCAACAGGCACATCCATTGTCTTTGGTTCCTCTGGTATCACTTGAGAGGCGAATCTGGTCAGGGAATTCATTATACAGCTCCACCTCAGAGTCCTGGGCCAGCGCGTTCCGCGCTACCGTCATGAAGGCCTGCTCCACGTTCACGTTTTCCTTTGCACTCGTTTCAAAATATGGAATGTCATTCTTCTGGTGACACCACTGCTGAGCTCTCTTTGATGAGACCTGGAGGGAAAACATAGCATCCAATCATCCAAAAGTGATCCAGAGTAAGATTAGAATCTCCATTTAAAGGGTGTATGGATAGTCACAGGCTGATTTTTCTTGTTTTCTTTCAGGTTTGATCTTTTTAGGCAATTCTTGACTGAACTCTCTTTCCATGATGGAGTAACAAATAGGGTTTTATATGGCAAGGAAACTCTCAATTCAAAAGCACTTTCAAGTAATTGACTTCAATGAAGTTTGGAAAAGCATATTCCTGGTTTAGTGATTATATAACTTCTTCAGACCCTATGGCATGTACACATGCCAAATATCAAAATGTTAAAACCCCTGATTAAATCACTTCTAGGTCATGAATCATGTTACAAGCCATAACAGGGTTAAGGACAGCTCCTGAAAAATATATATGGGTCTTATTGGACTCAGTCTGCATCACAACAGGGGCTTGTGAACTTGGTACTTCTGTGAATGTGGTCACCTGCATTGTGTCAGACCATAAAAGCTAAAAGCTCTTGTCAATTGCTCAATATTGACCTCATAATTAGGATGCACATCGAAATGCATTGTCAAATAGTATGGGACTACTTAGAAATAACGGGATATTTAACACATTATAGAGCTCTAATGGAGTCAAAACATAGATGGCATGTACACATGCCATGAGGCATTGTACCAGTATATATGCATTTCAGAGTCCAATTACATGGAACTCCTTGAACTGTTTGGATATGGTGTTGGTGAGCTCTTTCAGCACCAGGCTAGCAGAAACAAAGAAGAAGACATGGACAGTTGTGGATCCAGGGGGGTGGGGGCCCACCACTCATGATTGTTTCAGGTACATATTCACAGGAAGTGCCCCCTGCTTCATTACCACCCAAGGAAACCATTTCTGTGGCAGTGCTGTTTACATACAGGGTACTTGAAAAAGTGAGAACCACAGTACAGAGGGCCCAGGGGATTACTGACCACTCCCTAGTGAATGGGGTGGGGAGTGTAGAGTATTGCAGTGCTTCAGTATATTTTAAATCCATCCAGCCTAATTACTACTATTGTTGGTGCAATGACAGTGACAGGGCATAGAAATTTTAAAATATGATCCATGATTACTGGCTTCCATTAACTTCTTTTACTAAAAAAAAAAAAAAAAAAACAGGTTGTCAATTGTACACCTCTATGGAGGAAAACCCGGTGGTATGTACACATGCCACTCTATTCATCCAATACGAAAAGGATAAAAATATTGGCTTCCCCACTTTGCCCATCAAGGGTGGAGCTTAGGCAATGAGTCAAAGGATTTCAAAATTGACATGCAACTTTCCTGTTGGGTCTGAAGAGGATAAGGGTGTCCCATTTAAAAGGAAACACAGGGGGAATTATTAATTTGCTTTTATGTTCTGCTCTCCAATTGCACCAAATGTTTTAGAAAAAGTTCAGAATGAACAGAAAGAAGTCCTTAACACACTGCACACAGATCACGAGATAGCTTGTGTTTTGCCAGCTGGGTGTTGAGAATGGAACACAAGAATATTTGTGTTTTGTGTTAACCTTACCATCTCTGTAATCATCTCGTACTTCATGGTCGATGCTGTTGATTGTGCATACCATAGATGAATAAGGTTTCTTTTCCTCCAATTTCATCTGCATATTTATCTTTTTATTGTTTTGGTTGTCTTTTTCAAGTGCATGCTAGCATTCTGCTCCAGCATCACTGAAAACCATTCAGGAACTGGGGTTGGTATAACTACAGTACACCCATTATTATGCTGGATTTAAGCCTCACTGGCCCACAACTGAAAACCAGTCAAAACCTGGAGTGCTCACCCTACTATGCTAAATATTCTTGAGCAAAGGACTGTCATTATTTTGTGATGAAATTATATCCATATACCATGTAGATACTAATTTGAACACATCAATTGCCCCCTTGGATGGTTTGAGATATTCAGATAGCCCTACCACATTGCTATGTCAATATAATACAAATGCAACTGTTATCCTGGAGCAATGGAAATGCTACTTCTGCACAGATGGGCCAAGACAAAGGTACATCTGGGGTATTCTGATGCGTGATGAAACATGCATGAAGGGGATGGTGGGGAATAGTGGAATACAGTAATTCGCTTAAAAAGGGGTAACTTTCTTCATTGTCTTTCACTCACCAAACCTTAAACAGTGGCTGCCATTGGTGAGTGGGAGACAATAAATCTCATCTACACTATTACTTCATCACACCAGAGATAAAGAACCAAATCAGACACACAAGTCCAACGCAATTTTAGAACCAATTACAACAAAAACCCTCCATCAAGAACAACCATACGAGCTTGGTACAAGAAGTTTAAGGAGACTGGAAATGTAGAGCATAAGAAATAATAAACTTAATAGGTTTCTCTATAAAATGACACAACATGGGCATTTTTACACCTCTTCATTGATAATTTATTTAGTGAAAAAGTTGTCCAGACAATTCTCGGACACCCTGTATATATTCCTGTGTTGTCCAATCTGAGAAGAATGGATTTACAGAGACTAATGCTGCTGTTCTACTTGAGAAATTCTTGAGATGAGAAGGAAAGCTATTGCTGTGCATTGCCAGCAACAAGCCACAACAAATTGCTGGAAGAAGAAAATTTAAGAGAAGAAAGAAGACAATAACAGTAGCAATAGAATTGTTGGGGATGAAATCAGGAGGGGATATTTATCCCCTCCTGATTTGCATCAATGGAGATGGTAAATAGGGTGCCTCTACAGAGTGGAGAAGCATATTCCATGATGGAACAGAATGTGGCTTTGTACAGCTGGGCTGCTGCCATTGAAAGAAATTTCTATTAAATAATTAAAAAAAAACATGTACACCAAGGACACATACAACTAACTTTATTTAGAGCTATGATCATGAGAATCTCAAATTAGATGACTATAGAAAGTGTAACCCAAAGAAGCTTCAAAATAATTACACAGGCAAAGAAGTGCATGCTCACAAATGGCCAGGGCACCAAGAAGGAAGTCCTTTTTTTGCGAAAAAGCATGAGAAGTCAAGTGTGTTCATCATCCTGCACTCTATATTGTAACTAGGTAGATTATAACTTAAGTAGATGAGTAGATGCCACTAGGCCAAAGTCTGAGAGGACTCTGCTTAATGCCTGAACTGCTATCTAGATGTAAGAGGGCTAGGCAGGCTGAAAAGTATCTTAGGGACTTGGGGAATAATTGAACACAACACCTTTTGGATTACTAATATGGTTTATACTTTACTGTTTTACTGTTACATATTAAACTCAATTATTTTATGATTATTGTGTGAACAAGATATAATGGGGTTAAATTGGGTTCCAGGTTAGTGTATAACCAATACAAGTCAATGTCTCAATATGTCCATACAGGCCTTCTTTGCCAGCCTGATAGTGAAAAAGGCACTAGGCCATAAAAAAGATGAATACCATCAACTAAGGAAAAATAAAAAAAGTGAACAGCAAACCAGTCCCATAAACATGAAATGAAGGACTTACAGCTCGCTCTTCCAAGTCAATCTTGTTTCCAATGACAACAAATGGAAAATTCTCTGCATCTTTGGGGGAAGCTTGGATCAAGAACTCATCCCTCCAGCTATCCAGTGATTTGAAAGTGCTGGGTGCTGTGACATCATAAACGAGGACACAGCAGTCAGCTCCTCTATAGAATGCAACGCCTAGTGACTGGAACCGCTCCTGCCCAGCAGTATCCCAGATCTGCCAAAGAGATGCTTGATGCTTTTATTCAGAACTATACTGAGTAATAGGTAATACATGTATTTTTGCTTCTTCCACCATAAAAGTGTAAGAATAACTTCATGACAAATTGTAAGAATAGGCATAGAGAGAAAATTAGCTCCCATCTAGTGCTAAGCAATAGTTTTGCAATACCAAGAAGCAGGGACATAACCAGGGGGGTGTCCTGGGTGTCTGGACACCCCCTGAAATAATGAAGCAAGATATCATGAAACAAGGAGTATGAGAGTAAGAGGGGTACCCCCCACCTCTCCTTGTTTGGGGGGGAGGGGGGGGTGTGAAAAGTTTCACATATACAACTGAAGTTTCAATTAGTACTCCTATTCCACCTTCTGAAAATAATCACTCTTAACCAATACAGTGGCCCCCCCCATCTTGCTTCCATTGCTCCTAGTTTTTCCCCATCATCTCATGAGCCTGAAAGAGTCTCATATGACACACTCCGAAATTATTTCCTTGCTAGGTCCTTGCCAAAAAGGTAGTGGTGACTTGAACCTTGGACCCAGAATCAGAGCTTAGTCATTGCATGCAGTGGTACTAGTAGTATTGAAGGACTTCAGTCTGAAGGTATTCAAATTGAAGGATTTAAAATAGAGAAAATTTTCCACCATTGGCTGTCTGGTTCTCAAGCTTGGCTATATCTTAGCCACACTCCCTCAGTCTTGTTTTTGGTTATGGGATGCATAGGTGTAACTGCTCTCTCTTTCCACCTCCCCCATCACCAGGGATGGGTTTAACACAATCTAATTATGTTATTAGATTACAATTCAATATAATTTCTCATCCATTTATTGTAATAACCAAACATTTCTTGGGGCATTGGTTAGTAGATCAGATATAAAAAATAAATATTCAGAAAATATTCAGAATCAGAAATGAAATACATCTGGGGAGTTATATGGTGATATTAACCATTTTCAACCCCATTGTCATATATCTACAACTGCCACTCACCCCCTTTCCTCAGAAAAGCGAGTAGTAGTTTTCCTCAAAATTCTAGTCTAACTTTTTTTTGAGTACTGAAGCACCCTTTATCCATCTGGTCCAGGATGGAGAGGAGCTATTCAGAGCTATGCATGAGTAACAACATCCAGTTGGTGGATGACCTTCACCCATTTTCTCCCAATCACAGATCACTTCATTTGAACTGTATCTGCATGGAAATCCATGCAATTTCTTGGAGCTTGCAATCTTATAATAAGAAAATGCCTAATTTTCCCCCTTTATTGGAATGAAAAATTGGCACATGCTCATTTTCTGCAGGTACTATGGATCTACATGCAATTGCACAGCCTATTTATGATGGTGAAGCAAGCTAAAAACAAGCTAAATTAAAGTGATGAGATAGTGTCCATTTTCACTGATACCTTACATATTTTCATCACCTATAATCCGGCATAGAATGAAGAAAAGTGCAAGAAAAACTTCAAGTCATAAACAATTTAGAAGCAAGCTTTAAAGGTCCCTACACAGAGGCAATCCGAGCTCATTCCCATACTCCCTTTCTTTACAATTTCAATTCATATAGTTATACCTTATTAGTGTTCTGCTTATATTTTTGGGTACATATACCTATCATCCTCCTTTAAAGCCATTCCATTGTCATCAATGAACATGGAAACTAGGCCTAGAGTTTCAATTGTTCTGCCACCTTCTCATTCTTAAAAAAAAAAAGAGATCCTACAATTGGGATATAATCAATTTCATCATCAATCAATCAGGTCCTACACAATGGAAAGCATACATCTCCATCCAACACACTAGAATAAGAACCACCATCCAAAAATGTCCAACTCTTTCTGAACTCAGATAATTTTTACAATTATTTTTCCATGAGATGTTATGCTGAACAGGCATGAAGGAAACACAGCAATAGCCTCTCACTCACCTGCATTGTCACAAGACGGTCATCAACCATTATTTCTTTCGTGAGGAAGTCGGCTCCTATTGTAGCTTTGTATTGGTTGCTGAATTTATGATTCACATACTGATTCATCAAAGATGTCTTTCCCACTGCACTGTCTCCTAATATTATGACTTTGAGAAGGATTTTCTTGCGAGATGCCATTTTGTGTAGTGATCACCTGAAGCTTTTCACCTTGTGAGTTTGCATTCACTTATGACCATGGACTATGACCAGAAAATAAAAGAGGCTGAGAAGACTGCAACACATTCAGAGACAATAGGCTTATCATACAACTATGACTTTTGTGATGAAATTGAAATTCAATTTGTCCAAGCTGAAATATCTTCTATGACTGATGTACTTCTGCAGAGAACAATCTGATGGATGAGATTAAGGACTGTGTCCTCAGGGATTTTTGGCAGGTTCAGGCCTACCCAAGAACTAATATCCATAATAGTCATGGTTTTCTTAATTTAAATTACAAACACAGCACTCCTCATAGGCCTATAACAAGTCTAGACTTAAGATGAACATGATGGACAAAAATTCCAACTTTTCAATTCAACAAATTATCTTGATAGGCTGGGGTTATTACAATGTGAAATGAACCAAATACATGAGGCATACTAGACATAGAAGCTAAAAGATAATCATAATAGTTTGGCCAAATTTTCTTTAAGTTACTACAGTGGACAATAAGCACACAGAAATTGACAATGAAGGTAAACTCCAACAACTATATATCCAATGATGACATTGGATGAAGCACTCCCCCAAAGGTCTGGAGACTTCTTGCAAAGCAATAGTTTAAAGACACCTTGAATGTTGTCCCAACAAAAAGAAACATTCACAGTCCTCTTCTTAAGAAATGCAGTGAGAAGACTACTGACTCCATAGATTCTATACAAGGAAAGCACCTTCCTGATGTTTGCATTACTGGTCATTAGCATACTATATTAAATAAAAAGGTTGGATTGAGGGTGATGCTATTGCTTTGGGGATGAAATGGTTTTGAGACTTGGTGCAAATGAGCAAAAACCTCCTTTGCTACTTTTGCATAGACAAGGATAGTAATTTTTTAAATATATATACCTATGTATACATTCTAAGAGCTTTCAAAGCATTATGATTGTCCCAGCAGTTGATGTAATGGAGAACTAATGAATTCTAAATAAAAAAATACACACTCTTCATAATTATTTTTGGATAAATTTTGAAAAGTGCTACAATTACTATTATATGCCAACTGATGCTAATATGAAAGTTACTGGTTACATTTAGAATAGTCCATGCCTTTACAACATCCATAGTGAACCTATGCCAAGTTGCTTTAGATGCCTTTTTAAAACACCTAACTTTTGGGCTTCCCAATTGCTTAAAACTCAATTGAAGTAAGAAAAAAAAAACATGAAGAAAGCAGGGATGCAGGTGGAGATTGAACCCACAATGTATGATATTGACATCAAAGTTGTAAAAAATTTGGCCACCAACTTTTACAGTTAATATAAAACTGAAGTATATGAGCTATCTCATTAAATAAGAGTCAACCCTAACTCATGCAACATGTGCACAATTAGAGGTAATGATTTCATTGCACCTTATAGCTGGGATATGATTTGCATAAACAAACACAAGAGTTTCAAATGACCTTGAAACTGGCCTACATTTAAAATTATTCATCATGACCAATTTATCCAAAATTGCCAATCCAGTGCTTCTACATAATCTTAGCCAATAGGTTTATTTATTATGCAACTTGCTTGTGTTTAGCTATCTAACAGCACAGCACCATTACATCAACATTTCTTAATTAGGTTGAGATATATTTATCAGTGTCTGGCAATTGTGAGGTTCATTTTTGGAAGTTATTGCAGCATCCTCCTGCTTTGTTCTCAAGAGAGAACAATGAGGGAGGGTGAGAGAAGTTCAGATGAGAGTAGCACATTAAGTTCAAGTCAAGAACTGAGAGGTCTAGGCTGACTGCACAATTCTAGAGGCATAGGCCTAAGCCCATTTCTCTATGTCTGGCGTTTGCAAGATTCAGCTTAGGGTGGGCTATTGCAGGATCTTCCTCCCTCTTTGTTCTTAAGGTACCTTGTCCATAAGAGAAAATAAAGTAATATTCTGATTAGTAATCAAGTAGCTTGAACTAACGCAACACAATTCTCATGGCATAGGCCTAGGTCGTACCATAAATAAGAAAGATAAATCCTAAACAGGCTACACCCAAACGGTAGGCTAGTCAAGGTCTAAGGATTGACTGACGTTAGAGACTCCCGTGAGAACAATTCTAATAAGCTAACACGAAGTTCATGGGAGGCCTGTCAGAAAATGGAAGGGATAAGGGGTAGATATTTAGATAGAGGCACCCATAGAACAAATAACAAAGGGAAGCGCAAAGACGAAGAGGAGATGAAAAGGAGTTGGGACAAAGACATGGGAGGATGAGAAGTAAAACATTTCGTCATAGCCATGTTTTCGACGATGGATGTCGCAGCAGACGACACGCTCCAACAGGGTTGCGCGATGGTAAAAGGATTCGAGGGGCTCAAGGTTCGGACTGGGATGCGCCAAAAGGCATATCTGCTCCCGTTGACATCCCAAGACAAGATCCAGCACTCATTTGAACCCTTTCATCCGAATATGAGAAAGCCCAACCCGTTTTAATACAGATGTTTTTGAGAGCGCTGCGTCAACCAACTTCTTCGTCACACAGATATCGCTCCCGTTCCTGTATTGTTGAATAACTAACCCAGTGGCAGGCCAACTACGACCCACGGCAGCATTTCGAGTTTCGGCGAGTTTTCTAACCTCTGATCTAACGTCTTCTTATCCAGGGAAGGCGAAGGCACTACGTCTAAAACCCATGTGTTCCACTCATTGGCTACACGAGAGTAAAAAGTAATTCTTCAACTTCAGTCTTATTTGAAGCTTTCCCGACTTGAACTGGTTTTCCCTCAGAGGCGCATTTTACGGGGGCAGAAGGCGGCCTTCCCTTCTACCAACAGTCCTAGAAAGTGCATATCGCCCCTTTGAATAGTTTTTTTCGCCCATGAGAACCGTCGCCAGACCTTCGTTCTGCAACCCCCCCCTTCTCCTTTCTACTACCGCTGCCCTCCTCCCTCCCTCTCTGGAGCATGAGCCAAATACGCCACTGTTCCCCTACTCGATTTGTTCCTACAGTCGAGATAAAGAAAAAGCCTACCACACCCTACGATATCGATGCCCTCGATGATATTATGTGCTTGCATGAAATCTCCCCTCGTAACCGTCCTCTCCAGGAAATACAGTTAAATGCGATTAATATGTTCGCTGCCCATGACGCCCATATGCGTCAAAGGCTAGTTTTAAGGAGAGCCAATGACGCACATGTGCGTCATGGGCTCAGCTGTTTCTATGCCTTCGTTTCTCTCGGCGCAAGGGTTGAGGATGGGGGCTCGACACAGGCGCTCAGCATAAACCATGCAGCCTCTGGATTGCGCACTCGGTTTCTGTGCAGCGTCGTTACGTGCTGCGTCTTACCTGCCAATTTACTTTTGGCGCACTAGTAGAGGATGAGATTTTTCGTTGGCAGTGAACGTGTTAAACGCTGCTCGCATGAATCTGCGCTTACCTCTTTTATCATGCGAATAGTTCGCCTCTTTAGAGAGGCCTTTAGAGAGATTTTCTTTAGAGCCATTTGATCCCTTTCATTTGCAGGTCGCCAAATGGGGTCATACTGATATCGCGTGTTACAGAAGAATAGCACGCAAACTCATTGGTAATCGAATTCCGGATGGGATCAGTGGCGTGCCTATCATTTGGGGAAGTGGGGCAACTGCCATAATATGCTAAGAAATTGAAGGAATTTTTTTTTCAGTCTCGTGCACTTCAATGCCGCTGTGACGATCTGGAATGGGGAAGCAGGATGAGACTGAATATTGGGTGCAAAAAATTATTTTCCGTTCATCGTGGCATCATTCGAGCAGTGGAGAAACCAGGATGGGATGAAGGCTAACAGGAACAAAGCACACGCAAGAAGAGTTCAAAAAGTTTAATCCTAGCACCCTTGCACTAGTCCACAGTGGAATTCGCTGAGTGAGCACGTTCGTCAGGAGAGTTAGTGATATCAAGAGGCGATTTCGCCCATTTCTTCTAAACGCTTCTCGTATGATAGTCCCCTAACCTCCTTAATCATTTCGTTCGTGAAGGATGTACTCAAATGATGCAAGACTAGTGTAACCGCGAACAATGGTCTCGATATTGAACGTTAACGCAAACATTTTCGAGGAGTTTCATCACGGCAGGACATTTCCTTGTTGACTGCGGTCGACGGCCGACCGCTGCGAGGATCGTCCTCGAGGCTCTTCCTGCCGTGGTGAAATTCACTGGCCTACCGCTTCACGGTCGCGCATGATCAACCCTTCATGCGTATGCATTCTGTCAGAAATATATTTGGATTAAATCATCTCAAAGGTCAGAGTTTCGATGTCAGCTCTGAGACGAAGTTCTCTTTTCTTTTCATCTGTCAAGGTCAACTGACTACAGTTCGATCGAAAAAAATCTTTCTCGATACATGCGTTTCGTGAAGTAAAAAAAAAATACCTAGCAAGACATGGCGTATATGCATATAAATATTCATGAGACAAGAGGAAGAGATCCAGGCAACAGGATCAAAACAATTTTTTTTTAACTACCCAAAGTGCGGTCCAGCATGCGAGACACAAGCCGTCAGGGAGGCACCAGTAACTTGCCCTGGCTCCGATGCAGCACGCGGTCTGTTATCGAGTAACCGGCGGAGCTGGGACTCCCCGTTTTCCCCGTCCCTGTTTCTTGCCTAGCACCACTCCGGGTGACGAACAGGGTCCCCCCCCCTCCCCCCCCCGGGTGACGAACAGGGCCCCCCCCCCCCCCCCCACCCATAAAAAGTCCTCGGCATGCCACTGTACGGAGGAGGAGAAGGCAACGACACCGTCGAACCACTGATGCAGTGTAACTCACTCGTCCCTCGCAGACGGAGCGCACGGGATGCTTTTGACTTACCGCACCAGGACGAAGTTATCGTTCCCGGAATGGCACTCGTACGTGGTATCGCCTCGGAATGTTTGCGATAACTTGCAGGGAATGGGACGATGTGATTTTCACCGATTTATCTTTTTACTCGCCGTAGATACTTTCACGAAACTCGTACTGTGCATAGATCGACCGATTCCAAGCAGACCGTCGCAGTTTCATCAAATTGATGATCTCAATGCAAGGAC